TGTCCATATCCATATCTATATCTCTATCCTTATCTGTATCTATCTATATCCATATCCATATCTGTATCCATATCCATATCTATATCTGTATCCCTATCTGTATCTGTATCCGTATTTGTATCTATCTATATCCATATCCATATCTATATCTGTATCTATCTATATCTGTATCTGTATCTATATCTGTATTTGTATCTATCTATAATCTGTATCCATATCTGTATCTAAACTGTTTCTCGATGTTATAGTTTACACGAACTGATATATTATTCTTTTGAGTAGAATTAAATTATTAGAACTCACTCTGTAATTCCCTAGGAAGGAAATCCACTTTTTTTTTTCCTTTTAAAGTCACTGTTCATTTACTTAATTAATATATATTGTGTTATGCAGTTTACCAGATAACCAGGAATGTGAAGCAGTGAGCATACAGAGTAGTTGTGTACCCTTTGAAATTTTCAGTGGGGCAGGGAATGTAGTCTTAAAGTTATTTTTTTAGATGAAATAAGTGCTAAGGAAGAGAAATGAAAGGGTGCCTATTGATTAACAAATGGAAACTTTATTTGCTCTGGGTAAGAAAGAAACTAGGGGCAGGTCAGGGGGCCTCATGGTAAAAGAGAAAAGGGATGTATGACAGACATGTAAGTGAAAGGATACACATAAGAACTTTAGAGGGGCAGAGGGAACAGCTAGCTTAGGGATCTGAAGGGAAAGATTGTGGTATCTTCAAGAATAGAAGAACTCATCATTGTTGAAACGGATAAGGATAAGTCTGGTAAAGATGAGTCTTTAAGAGAGAAGTGGGGGCCAGATCATCATCAGCAAATTAAAGATTGTAAATTTTATTGTAGAGAGGTTGCACACAGGGACTCCACTTAATTTTAAGAAAGGTTCTCTCAGGAGATAGAGTGCAAATTTATTAGGAGGGAGTCAGAATGAAGGCAGTGGCCTAGGCTGGGGGACACAGTGCTGTGAACTGGTCTGTGATGGTGAGAATGGGGAGAAGTAAAATAATTCTAAAGGTACTTAAGAGGTAGATTTCATGCCTGACTAAGAAAAATGGAGGAAATGGGGACAAATCCTAGATTTCTGGCTGAGCATCTTGGTGAAAGAGGATATCAATCATTTCCTAATATGAGAAATAATGGAGAGCCATAATTTCTGGAATGAAGGAAGTCTCCCCTTGCCTATATAGCCTTCCAACATCCAAGCCTCAGTGAAAGTCCTATCTCCATGTGTTGGTCTGCTAGGGCTGCCATAACAGAATACCACAGACTCGAGGCTTAAATAATATAAAATGATTTTCTCACAGTTCTGGAGGCTGGAAATCCAAAATCAGGGAGTTGGCTAGTTTGGTGTCTCCTGAGGCCTCTTTCCTTGGCTCGTAGATGGCTGCCTTCTCGCTGTGTCCTCACATGATCTTTTCTCTGCATACACACATTCCTGGTATCCCTTCTATGAAGAAACCAATCCTATTGGATTAAGTCCTTAATCTCATGCTCTCATTTAATTGTATTTACCTCCTTGAAGGCCCTACCTCCAAATACATTCACAATGGAGGGTTAGAGCTTCAACATATGAATTTGGGAGTGGGGGACATAATTTAATTCATAGACTTTCCCATGATGCCCTAGATTCCTTCTTCAGTAGACTTTAATACATGTAAAGCCCAAAACAGTATTACTTATGTTGAAAATAAATATCTAAATATTTTATGAGATTTTTTCCTGTAAGTTATTAGAAACATGGTATTTCATAAGGACAACAAATTTGAAAATCTCAACAAAAACCCAAATTATATTTTTACCAGTAGCTTAGAAAAACTGTGTATTAATCTGCAAATGTGAATAATCATTGATGTGATTATGAGAACAGATGTGAAGGAATGAGTCCATTTCAATGTTGTAGGACATTATTAAAACTATCATTAGAAGGGATTCAGCCTCTACTTAATAAGTAGATAATTAATACTTAATAATTGATCTGTTAATTGTGTTATAAAATTTTCTATGTCTCTGTTGCATAGGACAAGGCTAAGCCCATAACTACTCAAAAACAAAAACAAAGCAAAAACAAAAACAAACTTGATGATTGAATGTGTATATTTTAAAGATTTACACTGTTCACTATCAGGTTGTGAGAGCATCAAAAAGATAAAACACATTATTTATCTAAGGTATT